TTTTTTTTTATTTATAGAGGTAAAACGAGAGGGAGAAACATAGTGTTGCATTTCCAGTGGCATGCCGAATTGATGGGTATTGTTCTTAACTCTTATTGGACTTGAAATCTACGTTAAAACTTCAGTAACGAATATTGCGAAGCAAAATGAACTAATTACAACTCCAGAGTTATATATCACTTTTATCGTAGCTTAACGGCAATTTCACCAAAATTCTTTTAAACATCCACTTTTATTCGATAAATTTTAGAAGCTGCATACGCGTTTTGTGTGAAGCGTCTCCGTGATTCTATTTCCAGCGATTTTGGTAAAATTGTCGGTGATGCTGTACGCCACACTAAACTGTGTTCAAAAGATAGAAGAAGAATGAGAGAGAGAGAGAGAGAAAAAAAAAAGAAAATTCGCTCCTAAAATAATGAATTGTAATACTTGCATCATTTCATGTGTCTGCCGATTTGACGTGAATGTACGTTTTCCGCATGTATATTACCGTGAATACGTGAATTGTGTTTTTCCGTTTCTCGGGTTTAGCCGATACTGTGTACAAGAGTGTTGTTTTCTTTCGTTTTCCATGGATGATTAGTATGTAAGGATATTCCAAATGACACTTTTTCTACGAAACTCTGCGAACGAACTTAAATTAGTCAACGTATTATTCATGCATAATTTTTCACAGTAAACCAAGAGTACATTCACCGTGATCGCAGACTCGAAATGAAATTCGAAACCTGGTACAGCTCCTTTTTTGTAATATTTAAACAAAAAAAAAAAACTGCAATATTTTTTACCAGAGGATGGGACGAGGGACATTCGTAAAAAAAGTAAAATTATCGAGCCTTAGATCCGAAATCGAATAACTTTTTACCGTTCGATTCTTTCTTTTGTTTTTCCTTAGTTCAATTCAAATACTGTTAACTATTACGGTTGTCATATTGATCAGTAATGTGTTTTCCCTTCTATTTTCTTAGCCCATTTAAAAAAAAAGTTAGATATCATCGGTATATTTACTTTACACTTGTAGCATACACTTGTATGGAGGGGGGGGAAAAATGTTATCAACGAATCTTTGTTTTTCTTTTCATTATCGTTCAATTCGGAACTTATTTCTTTTTCTTTCGCACGCGTCGATTCACTTCTTCAAGGAACGTGTACATTGCTACTACACCCGGTGTAACTATGTGTTCCGAGTGAACATTTTTCATCTGTGATACATTTTTTGCGAATCAAAAACGAACTTAAAGGAAATTGGAAACAATTGCGCTTCGTCTGGACCCTGCATCTTTGAATTTTAATCAATGAGCATTCGTAGATCTCGTTTAAAATTGTATGTAAAAATGCGTTCTAATCTGAACATGTTTACATGTTGTATCGGGGAAAGGGAAGTAAAAATTTATCTACTCGAAGAATTGAATCGAAATACCGTCGAATTTTATTTGATTTTTAACAGAAAAAAATATAAGATCTATTACAAACACAATGTATGAAATATTATAGGTTTAATTGCCATTATTTTATAATGGCAATTGCGGTGATCGTTTTCGTACGATGTTTTGTACTTTACGTTTAAAGGAAAACAAGCTATTAACTCATATGAATACTGCGAGCAAGAACGATTTAGGTAGCAAAAAATCCTCTATTTTGAGCCGACGTAATAAAAAAAATAAAATAAAACGAAAAAATGATAAAAGGGAAACACAGTCTCCTATCAAATTGATTAAGAAAAAAGAAAGAAAAGAAAGAAATTTAACGAGTTAGAGCAATTTAAACACAAATTACTATTATTATATATTTAATTTGTTAATGTAATTTCCTACCTATCGCTGTATTAATGGCATATTGATTAAATTGAATGAATTTTGTTATATTGTAAAACGTCAGTAATGAAATAAAAAAGAATGGAAGTCGTTTTGTGAAGAAGCAACGTCCACTTATATATCTGATGTGTTGCCGGAATAAAAAAAGATTTCTACATAACTAATCCATTTTTTGTATACACAACATTGCTTCTTATTTGTTTAACTTCTTAGAAGAGAAATATCTTTCTCCTTCCCTTCGTAAATACTCAGCATCTGGATCGCGAAAACGTGGAGGTCCAAAGGGATCAAATCTAGCGTAAGGTGGAACCGCGCCCCTACAGTGTGGTAATATGTAATAATTAGAAAATATATAATTCAGAAAAATTAGTATACGTTAACTTACGGTGGTAGCCTTCCTGGAACTCCTAAGCCTGGTCTGCCCGCTAAACCGTCGCGTAAAGGAAATGGATCGAAGATCATACCACCGCCTTCACGAGCTAGAGGATTTAGGTCTCTTTCACCTATATTTCCTGCATGCGGAGCGCTATAAGAATTTAAATAACTACTAATATTAATTGAAATAGATAAAAAAAAATGTTGAGACATATTATGCAAAATTAATGAATCACAGAAAGTGAAAAGGGGAGAATGATAGCAATTATACCAAGCGTATTCACAGGATCGATTATACTTGCTAGACGCGAAGACTAACTTTGATTCTTTGAATTCTATGAAGAATTGGTTTCTGNCACAACATTGCTTCTTATTTGTTTAACTTCTTAGAAGAGAAATATCTTTCTCCTTCCCTTCGTAAATACTCAGCATCTGGATCGCGAAAACGTGGAGGTCCAAAGGGATCAAATCTAGCGTAAGGTGGAACCGCGCCCCTACAGTGTGGTAATATGTAATAATTAGAAAATATATAATTCAGAAAAATTAGTATACGTTAACTTACGGTGGTAGCCTTCCTGGAACTCCTAAGCCTGGTCTGCCCGCTAAACCGTCGCGTAAAGGAAATGGATCGAAGATCATACCACCGCCTTCACGAGCTAGAGGATTTAGGTCTCTTTCACCTATATTTCCTGCATGCGGAGCGCTATAAGAATTTAAATAACTACTAATATTAATTGAAATAGATAAAAAAAAATGTTGAGACATATTATGCAAAATTAATGAATCACAGAAAGTGAAAAGGGGAGAATGATAGCAATTATACCAAGCGTATTCACAGGATCGATTATACTTGCTAGACGCGAAGACTAACTTTGATTCTTTGAATTCTATGAAGAATTGGTTTCTGCATTTGGAAATAGCTGTTCAAGATTTCAAAATGTCCAATTATGTCGGCCAAAATTCAATCATTGTTATTCAAATTCTGCAAAGATGTACCGTTATTTATCCATTCGATACAACTCAATATTATCCTGGTCGTGCTCGTATTGGCAGTCCTTGCCTTAATGGAATCACTATATTACTATCTCTGCTCTCTGTTGATGTTTGAGTAGAAGTATTAGCTGTTGTATTTGCAGCATTATCAGACATTATTGGATTCAGCAGATCGGTTTGAATAACTTGTATAACAGTTTGGTATGAAGGTATTAGAGATTCCAATGGTCCACGAAGATCTGTTACAGTTTGATTAATTTCAAATTGAATATTGGATACTCTTTGGTCTCCGGTTCTCTGTAAAATAAAAAGAATTATGATCTTGTTGTATAGAGTCTGTTACATAACAAAATAACTTTTGCACAGCTTTCTTTTACATTACCAATAGATTTAGAAGTAAATCTTCATCAGACTTTATGCCATGCAGTATATATAACTTTTTATCCTTTACGTAACGTAAAGCATAATAAGATTCTTTGTACAGTTTACGGGATTTGTCATACGAAAATAAATACAAATTCTTTATAGGTTAGGTATTATCACATTATTTGTCAATCGAATGTGTTGATTGCGTACTAATTATGATGCCGGTATTGCGTGATGTACCATACTAACACTTTTTATTTACTTACTGAATCGCCTAAGCCGATACACCTGAACGAATTTTTTATAAAATACCAATGAACGAATAAAATTAGGACATCCTCTTTTTTCGATACCTGGCTGTCGTATAACGACTGAAAAACTTCAAAGCCGAACGTAGAGTTGACATCAACCATTTTCTCCGTGAATGACAGGCGTGTTTCAAACTTTACAATTCATGCCACCGACGGACCGACATCTGAATGGTGATTCAGTTTCCGGAACCAGATTCAATGATTTGGTAGTAACGTAAAATATTTAAAAATTGTCACAGTTTAATTTTGCAATACATCTTGTTAAATTTGCAGGGAATTTTTGGAACATTTGTTTTCGTGCTATGATTGATTTTAATTTAGCAATATTGTAACCCAATTTGAAAGTGAAATCGGAAAACAAATGAATGCTTAGTAATATCCAAATGTGCTGTTTACAGTAAGCTAGACAGTGTCCTCTTAAATAACAATCCTGAAAGATATTATCAGATTATGTTGTTTCAGATAGATCGTTCGTTTAGCAGATAAAGTATTCAAATAATTAAATAATTAAGGATTTAAGGAAATAGGAATTTATTATATACTCGTACCAAACTACTATGAAACACCCTATATACTGTATGCAGTATACAGGGTGTTCCACAATTACTTTAACAGCCGAAAATGAGGGGTAGCTGAGGTCATTTGAAATAACTTTTTCCTTTGCGAAAATGCAATCTGGGGCTTTGTTTACGAGTTATTAATGAAAAACACTGGCCAATGAGAGGTGACGGTGCGAGGGAGAGGGTCCCCGAGAGAGTCCGCAGTACGAGGCTTTGACAGAAGGTCAGGACGGACTCGATCCGCGTTCGAAGTATTGAACAAGTCACGAGGCGAGAACTTTCCTGATTTTCTTTTACTACATAACAGTGATATTTTTAAGAAAAACGCTGTTCACCTTTACTTTAGAACGTCTGAAGAATATTTACTAATTTTTCGGACCCGAAATAATAAGTAATTTAACCGTGACGGCCGTTTTAATTTTCTAGTGTGCATGACACCTCGTGTGTACCTTATGAAATTTTTAAGCAAGGTTACAGTGAAGATTATCAAAGTACGCAAATGATATTTTACGTTAATGATATTTTATTTAAATAATTCCGTGTCCGAACACAGTTCAACGAATGATTCGCAAAGCTAATTTAATAAATAATAATCGTGTTAAAGGACGTAAGGGATATGTTTGTTAGAGAAATATGAAGAATGTTATCAATAAGAAACTCACCCATTTAGTTGTAAAATCCACTTCATGTATCCGACGGCGACGAACAGAAGGATGTCTCCGAGCAGGCATTCAACGTTTACTTTCACTGCATTATCACTAAACACTGATCACTTATCAATAATATTTATGGACGAACTTTCCTGGGTTAATATGTATAGCTCTGAAAAGAGCCGATTTTTTTATGCGACGCGTTCGAAGTTTTCACTATTAACGACACGTATGTACCGCGTTGTCGAGCTGAACTGCAGAAGACTGGCACGATGGCCGACAGTGTTTCGTTTTCATAAGCCTTCTTCTTCGCATTGATTTGAAGCTAAATCATGTGTTTCACTTGGATTTGAATCTAACTCGTTTGTTTCGCATGCAGTTGATCATGTGTTTCGCATGGATTTGAAGCTAAACTTTCTACTTCGCATGAATTTCGAGCTAAATCATGTTTTTCGCATGAATTTTTAGCTAAACCATGTTTTTTCATTAATTTAAACCTAAATCATGTGATTCGCATGAATATGAAGCTTAATCATGTGTTTCGCATGGATTTGATGCTAACTCGTTTGTTTCGAATGCAGGTGAAGCTAAATCATTTGTTTTGCAAGTATTTAAGACTTAATTATTTGTTTCGCATGGATTTGAATCTAATTCCTTCATATCGCAATTATTTGAAGCTAAATCATTTGTTTCGCATGGGTTTGTAGCTAAACCTTCTACATCGCATGAATTTGAAGCTAAATCATGTTTTTCGCATGAATTTGAAGCTAAAACATATGTTTCCCAAGAATTTGAATCTAAATCATCTGTAACGCATGAATTTGGAGCTAAATCATAATTTTCGCAGATTTGTTCGTTTGTTCGTTTGATGGTTGGTTTGTTTTTTTTTTGCCTATTTGGTCGTTTGTTTGATTGGATGGTTGGTTGGTTCGTTTATTGATTGGTTTGATTGTTTTAGTTCGTTCGTTCGAATCAAATGAGTTAGCTTCAAATCCATGCAAAACACATGATTTAGCATCAGACCCATGCAAAATACACGATTTAGCTTCGAGTCCATGCAAAATACACGATTTAGCTTCAAATCCATGCAAAATACATGATGTAACTTCAAATTCAAGAAAAATACACGATTCAGCTTGAAATTCGTGCGGATCAAACAATTTAGCTTCAAATTCGTGCAAATAAACGATTTAGCTGCACTTTCAGACGAAACAAGCTATTTAGTTTCAAATCCATGCGAAATACATGATTTAGATTAAAATACACCCGAAACAAACGATTTAGCATTAAATTTGTTGAAATTTTAGCCTCGAACAAAAATTAATCTATAGTTTACTTAGTACTAAGATACTAAGATATCGGTTTACATTTTCGTCGGTTCCGTCAGCGGGCAACGACGGTGATGTAAACTGTATATAATAGATACCGCGATACATCATCACCGGTACCATTAGATACACATCGTGCCCTGACTGTTTGGGGATCCCAGCGTCACGTATACAATGTGAAACGCGACAAATAATCGTCTCTGATTGGTGGATAAGACGAACTCAAGAAGGGTATAAAAGAAGCGTTTTTTCTTACCGGACTCTCGGTAGAGTTTGGTCGCTCGATCGTTTTCGCCCATATACCTTCTCTCAATAAAGGAATAAAATAAAGTCTTTTTAAGAAAAGAATTAGAATCATATTCATTTTCATTCCATAATCCCAACAGTGTTAATTATAATTTTATTTGTTACTTTTTATTTCTATTCTATAATATCAGTTTTTTCGAAACAAACCGTATCACATGATGCAGTAAACCAAGTCATTTTTGGACAGTAAAAATTAGTTGGTCGATTTTGATTAATAAATCTATGATGTCTTACCTAAAGATACTCATCTATACTTTATATTTAACAATTTTACAATCACGGTTCGTTGGTTTTAATGAAAAAGAGAAATATCACCAATAAAACAAGAACATATCTTCAAAATCGTGGGTAATAATTTCCGACGTGGTAGTGTCTTGTTTTGCAAAAAAATTTTCTCCTCCTTTGCTGCATTTCTGCAGCGAGTGTTCTACCCGAGTGTTTTTTCGACACTAACTTACTATTTTACTATCACTGTAACAATTTTATCTTCTTAATTAACCACATTAGCTCCATTACTATCACAATTACGCAAGGAAACGTTTCCGAAGGAAGTGTAGTGATAATAACAGTAGTAAGATTCAGTTCTGTGTGATAAAGGAAATTGTTTACTATTTCTACGATCCTGGAAAACGTTTCTGTCGTAGAAATACATGGCAATAAATACGGGTGAAAATAAGTTGAAACCACAAGTTAACCACATTAGCTCCATTACTATAACAATTACGCAAGGAAACGTTTCCGAAGGATGTGCAATGATAATAACCGTAGTGACATTCGCTTCTTTGCGATAATGGACAATGTTTACTATTACTATGAGTCTAAAAAACATTTCTGTCGCAGAAACACATGGCAATAAATATGGATCAGAATCAGTTGAAAAGTTCAAAATAGTGATTTGTGATGTAATACTACTGTTCCAAAAGTACCGAAGGAACAAATTCAATTTTCCGAACGAGACAATGCTCGGTTTGCTTTTTCGTTTCTTTTCATTATCTCATAGCACCTTTCCATCTCCATCCTGTCGATTACTATATCGTATCTCAGGACTTCTATTATCTGCTTTCAGAAATGTGTCAGTTCCGAGCCGGCGAATGAAGGCAAACAGCTATCTTCCGAGACCAGGCAAAGTCCTTTGGGTATACCAAAGAGTCAAGTTTTCCGAGATGTGCTTGGCTGCGTTTTTTGTGATGCTGATGTCCGTTCTGGTATACTACACCGACTCCGAAATGGCCAAATATATCGACCCACTGTTCGCAGCTCCCATTTTCTCCCATTTTCTATTCCCATCTCCCTTTTTGTTCTCAGCTACCCGTAATGTGGGTAGCTTCATTTTCTTCTCAAACATAATCCTGGCTTTTGGTAACACGATCGATCCTTACAGTGAAAGAATCGAGCCCTTCCAAGCGTAGTGAACGTTCACGATTTGCATGTGTGGCAGTTGACTGGACGAAAGATCGTCTCTACCGTTCATATTATCTTCTTGGACCTTATGGTAAAGATTTCTTGGAAAATAAAGTCTTAAAGAGTTGAACCACTGTAACACGATGAAATAGGCAAATTTTGAATGCAGATTATCAAATAGTGATGTTAAACTGATGAAAAAAAATTGCTCTAACTATTGTCAAATTGTTCAAATGATTAACGAATAGGTGAATCTTTTATGTAACTTTTGATTTTTGAAACTAATGAAGAAAATTAGTAATTTGTATACAGATCTGCAGGCTAGTAATAATTATAAAAATATTCTAAATTCTACAAAAATTCTTTGGCGAATACAGCAAACTGAAATTTATATTGCACAGTGTTATTAATATTGCGATATGTGAATATGAATATACATTCTCGAAGATTTGAATAGAAATATTAATTTTATTTTATTTTATTTCTATTTAATCAAATATTATACTTATCCGTACATTATACAATTTGCTTCCACGTGTGCATCTGTGCTGGTTGGGTTGCCTATCACGAACAAATTTTATATTTACCTTTCGAATAAGAATTTCCTCATTTTCCGTACTAGATATTCTCTGAAATCTCTTATTATTTGACGATTATTGTGTAACTTAATACCGGTTGGATTACGGAAAACAAAAATTAGTGAACATTATAGGAGTGTATTTTTATTTCAATTTATTATTTCTCATAAAGGTAAAACTGTTGCTTGTATGTCAGCGTGACAAACATCGTGCTAAACATAGCTCTGCCGAACTCATTGGAATAGACCTACTTTCATTACTAACAATCCTAATTTATTCTCAAGTAGCAACTATGACTTTTAAAATTACGATTCGGATCTGTTCATAGCTGAATATATTATGGCACGCACGGTAGCGAAAGCCAACGAATAATGGACGATCCGCTTCATCAGTGTCGAATTTGCTGTTTGTTTTGTTAAAAAAGCGTCTTCGATAGCTTCAGATTACAGTCTTAAGTGTGTTACGTTTCACACTTTATGCACGCTATTTACATGGCCACATACACGTGCATATGTCAGCGATAAAATCTAAAGCAAGTGGAAGCTAGTTTAAGCAAAATAATGGAGTAAGTCAGCTAATTTTACATGTTCGTGAAGTTAAGCATAAGAATTGAATAATATTTGTTTAACAGAAACTTTAATGCAAATTATCATTAACACAATTTATAACAATTTATAATACCGAAATATTTAATTACATTAATTTTATAATTTGAAATATTTTTTCGACAGTTTTCTTTTATTTCACTCCTGAAATTTTCATTACGTTATTCATTAATTGTTATCATGTAAAACATAAAAGACAATGAATTATAATAAATCAACACGTCGACAATGATTTCGTCTAATTCTTCCCATTGTGCGCAAATTCTGGCAATCGAATGTGACGTCGACATAAAGTTTCATACGTCAGAAAGTAATGTTACAAAGGTATTCATAAACATTATTTCGACGTTAACGAACATTCGATACAAAAAAAGTTATGACATTTCGTTAATATCGTATTCAATTACTTACTCGTTTTCGAAAAGAAAAAAGAGAAAAGAGAAATATTTCGTCGATGTCACAAGCTTGAAAAAGTCCATTGATTTTTGTTTTAACACGTTCCGTGCCACGTGTACCATCGATGGTACACGCTTGCATGTTTACTTAGTGAACTGAACAAATTGTTTACAAGAAATTTAGAACCGAAGAATCAATTTCCACCGCAAGAATGGGCGTTGATAAGTTTTTGTTACGTTGTTATGTGTACGAGAATTAATAATTGCACGTAATACATCAAGTTTTAGTAAAATATCAAAGTGTGAAGATTCGAGTAAAAAAAGCTCGGCACGGAACGTGTTAATAAACGAATATACACAGGGTTTCTGAAAAATTATGTTACGTTTCTCAAAGTGAGCAAGATTCTAGTTACATCGTCTCGGGACATCTCGGGAGCCTTTCGAGGCCACTCGATAGCTCGCGCAGAAAGGGTAACTACCCTTGGAGCCATCAGATTATTACCATTAGTTTATTCTATACAGATACATAATAAAGAAAATTTGCAGAAAGTTATACGATTGTTTTAACACGTTCCGTGCCACGTGTACCATCGATGGTACACGCTTGCATGTTTACTTAGTGAACTGAACAAATTGTTTACAAGAAATTTAGAACCGAAGAATCAATTTCCACCGCAAGAATGGGCGTTGATAAGTTTTTGTTACGTTGTTATGTGTACGAGAATTAATAATTGCACGTAATACATCAAGTTTTAGTAAAATATCAAAGTGTGAAGATTCGAGTAAAAAAAGCTCGGCACGGAACGTGTTAATGAACATTATGTTTCAATTTCAACAAGAACATTTGTATGCACGCGGTAAAAAGTTTCGGCAACGTTAGAAAACTACGTTTGACTGCTAATTGTTTTACGACAGAGAAATTCGGATTTGAGACCTCGAATTGAATGGAACACTGTGCAGCGTTGGGCACAGAGCAGATCGCATTGACGAGTGTCGTTTCGGTTAGCATTGTACGGAGTGCGATATCAAGGTGAACGATGATTAAGATGACGCTGTCGTCGATAAGTTGTAGTTAAAGAACCGCCGGGGTGGGGCCAGCTCGTGGAGAGGCGGCCTGTAGCTCGTTGTTACTGCGAGAGAGCACAGCAGAACGGCCCTGATCGTCGCCGCAGTCGAAGAGTGACGCGCTTCTAGAAGCCGAATGTATCCGTGCAATGTCGTTTCGTGCCGCTCTGTGAAACATGTAAAGTGTTCAAGCTCGGTGATTCAGTCGGTGATTACTGATATATATGTGCATATATATACAGAACAGAAGCAAGAAACAACGAGAAGATAGTCAAGAAAAAATGGTGTGCCGCCAGCAACGATTCCTCCTTGCCGTCGCTCTTCTCTCGCACCTGTACAGAGGTAATCGCGGCTTTACCTGTCACGAGTCTACCTGTGGCCCATAAAGCGTTCCATGAGCAACGTCACCGCTATCGTGAGTCACACGACTCGAATGGCCACGAGAAAACTGGTTTTTCATTCGGAATCGATACAATCGACTGTGTTTGTAAGCTGCACAAAAAGAATCTCTATCGAGATTCTGTTATAACGGACCTGGTTCCCGGATCTATAGATCGTTTTCGCAAACGTTAAATCGCTCCGATTTCTGCGACTTCGTTTCACTCATTCGAGGCTCCTCCGACTTCTCGATTCCCCGAAAAGCAACCGGTTGTTTTGGAGCTCTGGTTGATCACTCGGTTGCGCTAATGTCACGACGATGAATTACGCGCACTGGTAATTACGCGCACGCTTCTTCTATTTTTAACGCTGGAAGTATCACCAAAGATGACGTAACTCGATTTTAATTGCACACGAGGAGCAATCGAGATTTTGCATATAGTTGAATCGGAACGCTGGAACGACAGTTCTAAATTCTGATTTATGTTTGACCGCTGTCACCCGTTGATAATGACGACAGAAATTGATTCGTTTCAAGCCTCGTACCGAACTATACAGTTCTTCGGCGTACGTTACGGCGGCTTATCACGATTTTTCTCCTTCGTGTCAACAATGCAATCACGTCGCGTTAACGATTGATGGTACAAGGCTAAGTTATTCGGAATTCGCTTTCATGTAATAACGAGTTGCGACTTTGATGCCCTATCTGAATTACGTCAGATGTTTGTTTAGGCTTGTGTTCACTAATTTTAGCGAGGATGAAAGAACAGTTAAACAGGTTTGATCAAACTTTACGTGATTCATACCGGAATGCGGTTACCTGCGTGCCGCACACGCATGGCGATTTTGCCATATTTTCTCGCAGTTGGGACACGAATCAACTATATAATGCATGCACTTTCTGTGCGCGCACAGTCAGCTTTTATTTACATTCCCGCCTTTATTTGTTCTTGCCAGTTGTCTTAAATATTATATCTAGACCCGCGGATTTGATGCATTTATGGAAAGATTGGGTATTCGCAATTTAAGACAGTTCCATGATTAAACGCATTTTAAAACGCGTCGATGTATTATTTTTAATTTATTAAAACGATTCAGAGAAGAACGAACTTGCTGACTCTTGGTTTTTACTCTTTGCAACCGATACAGACGATTTTCGTTTTGCATAAAAATCCGCAGTCTCATCATCCTCGAGATATTATATCGCATTGTCTTTGAACTGTTTAATCTTCATTTCTGTAATAAGTATATTAGTCCCAGAAAAGAATGCTATACGATCGAAACATTTGTCAATTACGTTCTTGCAATGTGTGCGATGCTTCGCTTTTTCTTTTTTTTGCTCATCCATTCTGCATTTCACGATGCGAAAACTTGAATATTATTTCCATCGTAAATATATTACATTAAAAGGTTTTTGTGAATTAATTGCACCAGACTATGGAAGAATCATTGAAACCTTTTAAGATACCGATCCCGATAAAATGACTCGTTCATTTTACTTGGCATTCATCGAAGCTGGTAATCAATCAAATCAAATTTCAATCGATCGATTGAAATTTTTGATTAAGATTTTAAAGCAATTGCTTTAGGAAGTTTTGTATAAGAACGTGAACTTTCATACGTTTCGTCGGTTCAGCAGTGGCAAATGAATAGAAGAATAACAGCATACAGAATTGAATCGATGAAATTATATTAAACTTGCTAAAATTGTTGAATTAAATTAAATAGATTTCTATTTGGCTCTCGCTTCTCGCAATCGGTGCAGAAAATTCTTACTTCACATAAAACATGACGGTCTGGTGATAACAAGAGTACCGTACTTACTTCGTGCAGAAGAAATTCGCACGTTGCAATACGAATGCGCGTGTCAATTGCTGATTCTCAACAGTGTCTGCTATAATTAGGTTAGATATTGATAACCCATAAATTACTACCGTCCTTTATCGCCTACACGACAGTAATCGGTCGTTTCCCAGCGGTATTCCAATCATAATCCTCTCAATTTAAGCGCATCGTGCGTATTATCTTAACAGGAATCGACCGATCCATTGTCATCAATCTATCAAGCGTAATCGCATTCGAACTTCCCTTTCACGAAAATGTCTATTCGATCGAAATCGCTTCGCATGGAACGATTTTTCTTCTGACAAGATCGTTTTGTAAAACATTCGGTCAAACTCGTTTCGTTCGAAGCCGCGACGAACGTTTTATTCAAGGAATTTCAATTCGATCGGATTCGTCCCCGTTCCTATAAACTAATTTAGTCAAGGGATAATAATCTGCGTGTCGAATAGGGCTATCTGCGCGATAGTTTATCTCGATGGGACCACTCGTTCTTTCCCGAGCATTCGCCGGTCGGTCGCATCTTATCGCAGCTTCCTCCTACGGTGATCTCACAGTTTAATGTAAATATTGTATTTAAAACGACACGTGTTGCACACTCGTGTGATTTTAAAAATTTCGTTTATTAATTTACATGCGAAGAAGCGCACGACGGCTCGTGGACCCGTCCGAACTCTAAAATCGAGCAACTCTCTTGGAATGTAACGGAACAACTTGAATGATGTGTAAACTAACTTCGAAAGCGTTGCAGTCAGTCGTGCCACCGCAGTTACAATGGCCCACAAAAGTGTTCGTGCACCATTTAAAACGCAATAAATTTTTCAAAACTGAACTAAATGATTTGAATTTCTTTTAGACGATAGAGGGACTGGTCTATTAGACAATGATTAAAAAGCTCTTTTTTTTTAATTTTGCTATTCATTGAAATGAAAAGAAAAAACTAAAAACCCTTGTTTTTTAACTTTTTATATGAGGCTATAACGAAAATTTAAAAAATGCCTTCTGTAGATATCGGTAACTGTGTTGAATATTTGATCGAAATCAGTTAACACAGAGTCGAATTACAAGCTATGAAGGATTTTAAAAACTGCAGATTTCTTCCAGTGACAAAACAGCAATTTTTACGATCTTTAATTTCTTATAAGTTGTTGTTATAAGTTACCGAGATCTACGAAAAATATTTTTTAAACTTTCGTCATAGACTCGGACAAAAAACTTAAAAAACGAAAAATTGTTATTATTTTGTCATTCCAAGTAATAGCAAAATTAAAAATAACATTTCCGTCGTCGTCTAGTAGACAAGTCCCTCTATCTTCTTTAAAAAATTTAAGTCGTTTAGTTCAGTTCTAAAAGGTGTACGAACACTTTTGTGGGTCACTGTACTGTGATCGAATAAAATGAAAGCATTATTGGCTGCATTTAACCCCTTGCGCTATAACGAATCAGACTCGCGATGACGATTTCATAATCTACTAAAGGGAAATGTTATTCATTTCTTCTAAAACAAACGATTCTTTTGCTATAAAAATCTATGAATGAAAGTAAGCGAAATATGCAAGAAACAAAAATCGTTTCGTTCTATCTGGAAAATGACTAAGTACGAGAAGACGTACTGATCAACGCAGTTATAAAGGAAATCGTCGTGCGAAGAGTTGAGAAAAAAACAAGAAATCACTGAACATTGATAACGCGTGCGAATAACCAGTTATCGTCGTCGCTCATCGGTTAACGGATTAACCCCTTAATGCACAATTTAAAAAAAAAACCGACCAAAAAAAATCAATTTTTTTTATCTAAGAAAATACATATTTGGACCTTAATTTCAATAAATATGTAAAAAAATGCAAAAATTACTAAAAATTCAATAAAAATAGTGGATAAATAATTATAGTGAATATTGAATCGCATCGCAGATCGAATTTTGTACCCATCGTACTGTTTTTCAATTAATATAGGTAACATAACATAAGTTGCGACGCTGACCGTATATATACGGGTCTGCACATTTTGGCTGGTTTTGCACGCCCGTGTTAATACGTTTCTGCGCGTTAAGGGGTTAAGAAATTTCGAGACGGTCGTAGAGAGCACAGCGAAAGTCAATCGAACGTTGGAAACTTTAAGAAGAACTTACGATACTTCGCGGTCACACTTCTCGTGAACTGTACGATAATCTGGCTGACGCAAGAATTTTTTAGCTTTAAAAGCGTACAGCCAAGATCGTCGGTTTTTTATCGGTTGGACTGTTTTGATACGGCTCGATCAGTATACTAATACCTTGTATGGTAATCGTGGATTACGCGGTATTTGAGGAAAAGTTAATTATTGGGATGTTGAGAATCGTCGAAGTTGTGCTTTGGGGCTAGTAAGATTCATATCGAAAGTAATAGAGTGGAATTCGTTGAGTAAATTCGGTGAAAAATTATGGTCGCTGATATTGGTTTGATATTGACGTTCCAGTTTCATTTTATAAAGAATGATGTTTCAGAATTTCAGATAAAGTAGATACAATTATTGATATTAATCATTTTATTTATATATAATTATGATATATAAAATATAATATATATGTTGTAGAATGAAAGGATACTCAAAAGCACTTTATTTAGAGTTACAAATTCTACTCCAGAACATTCGCGTATCCAGTAAAATAAGTGATGGTGATATATTGCAAAACTACAGAGATACAGAAATCTGGTGTTGGTGAAAATCCCGAGGTGGCAACCTCACGGTTCGGTGTCTACTTTTGAACTGTCGTCTGGGCCCACCTGGGCCTCTGTAGGCAACGGCTCACCCTCGCAAGGGGCCATAAAACTGTTAGGTGGGTCATCGTTGAAATTCCAACAATATATATAATTGCATCGTTCTTGAAAATGCAGTTTCGAGATAATCGGCTTTAAAATTGCAAATGGCGGTTCTTATAACCCGCGATTTGGTTACGTTCAGTCTTATAAATTCCAGAACTATCCAAACATTCGTACGAATTATTTGGAAATGCCCGCGAAGAATGAATCGGAAGAAATTCTTTCCAGATTGCATCGCGATACGACTAGTAAAATGAGTAAAATAAAATTCTAGTATTTTTTTTCCTCAACTGCACAATTTTGGATCTTTTCAATCGATGATAGACATGATCCATTTAATCGAAGTGATCGCTTCCTAATTCTAGAGGGATGAGTCAACTCTGGAAGGCGCTTCGTAACCGTTAAAACCTATTACAAATCTTCGATAAATCAGTGAGTTCATAAATAGATAGATAGATAGGCTTTCAGAGTACGTTTGGCGTCACGATCTCAAATATCGAATAAAACAGTTGAGTAATGCTACTTAGAAACACGTCCGACTGAAAAATTCGTAACTTATCAATCCTCAAATGCAAACAGTTTCGAGTATATAGAGAAATATTTACTTCAGGCGTTTTTGTTACAAGGAAGCCATAGACAGAATGTCTCGATTTCTAATCAAATCGTGCTTATCCGAATCTTATTTTTCACTAAATGAATAACGGGGTCCAGGGAAAAAGTTCTCTGTTGTTAAGTCATTTCTATACGTACTTATTTGCCTCGTGGAACGGGCCGGCTAGCTGATAAAGCGCGTGTGCTATCAGTAGAGGAAAGAAAGGACTTCCTTCCTACAAACTCTCGTATATGCTTGCAGAAGGCAAACTGGTAACGTGTGTACATACATTTTTACGACGAATCATGGGCAGGAATAATTCGACGAGACCAAACCGTCCGCAGGACATCCGCTAAGGATTCGCTCGTAATTACGCAGAAATGATATTTCAATATTTGTCACTTGCAAACCCACTTTCGCGAGAGAACGACAAAATAATGCAAGTTGTGAATGAAACTGGTTAATTATTTACTTTAAAGCGTGAGTCGGAGTTGGAGTTCATTCGAAAACGTGGTGAAACGAACACTCTTGCAGTTTCATGTCGAAATCAAATGAAAATGATGAATGGCCCCTGAAATATCTGCAACTGATCTGGTGAAATGGTGAAACCTTGAGGCACCCCTCTGGACTTTCCCCGTATCTCCATTCGTGAAATAAGAACACGAATCACTTCCAAGGATTTATGAGACCGATAAATTGCGTCATCGTGCGTATCGTTGCGTCGTTAAGATGTTACGATGATCTATCTAACTCCCATTCGTCTCTTATTTTTATTGGTTATAAATATTAATTTTTTTACTACATGGATCGAAAAACCTCATTGATCACGATACGATAGCATTGCAACGATCATTTTAGAACCTACTATTTACTTTATTAAATGTTCAAACGTAATGAACCAACGAAATAAAAGTATTTGTAAACCATTATTGTTTGAATCGTATCTGATTTCTTTATTTTGGTTAATAAATGCGATCTGCGAATGACGATTACGTTTTGTTGTTGACGAATGTAATATAGTTTTCGAGTAAGTTTTGGAATAAATTTTTTGTTCTCTTATCCCCAGACTCAACTGCTCTGAAACCGAATCTATCATCGACGACCGATCAAATTATTAAGAAAGAAGGCGACCGTTTGTGGCTGCAATGTTCCGGCGAATCGGAAATTGTCTTCATGTATCCCATTAACTCGACAGAGTTTGTAAGTAACGCAACACGATGATAATATTATCAATTCGAAATAAAAAGAAAGCGATGGTAACATGTGCTTTAATAATAGCCTCATACATCAGCCATCGAAATAAACAAAAACCGAGATAAGAATGGCACCTACACGTACGAGTTTGTTCGACCGAATGCAGTCTATGGGGACACTGGTTGGTATGGTTGTTCAGATCACTTCATCGAAACCTCCGCACGCAATTATTCCGACCCAGAAGTCAACTGGGTGTACGTTTTTGTCGAATGTAAGTGTATTTTTTATTTATATTGTACTGCAAACGTTCAATGTAGAGACTCCTTGAAGTGTGTATTGAGACAATACTTAGAGACAATACAAAGACAATGCGGAGATTCCTTAAAGTATTAGCTATGATAACTGGAGTTCGGTAGATTAAATCTGCAGAGATTGCTGTAAATCAAAACGCTGCAATTTAGTAGTTAAACAGCCTATTATGTTTCAGCTGAAACCGTTCGGTTTGTTGAACAAACATATTACAAGAGTTTAATAGCCGTTGTAGGCGAGAACATTGTTATACCTTGCAGACCAACGTCGCCAACAGCAGAGGTCCATCTCACAAAACAAGACGAAGTAAGTGTCCGATCGGTTAATAAATATAGTATCGATTTCGTGAAGCAGCATAACATTGAAACTGCTAAAACAGTATTAAAACGCTTGATTCGTTGTAAACTTTGTATACCCGAAATGTTAGAAAAGTTTGCAAGAACGATATTTTGTTATGCGTGTGAAGAAAGAGGTTGACATCGATTTGTTCTGGTCACAAGGACAAAGATAAATGGTTCTTTGTTCTGTATAACTGTCCACGCTTCGCTAGTGATATAATACGTACGATTAACGTACAAAAAGTCATTCAAAAAAATACATTGTGCAGGATCTCGACATAAACGATGCACCGTCTTTCGATCCAAAATTTGGATTTACATTATACGACGTCAAACCACACGACCAAGGTTTGTACGCGTGCAGCATCGCTCCTAATGAAGAGGTCTTGTATCATATATATGTAACGAGTAAGTAGACCTGTTCAATGTTGTTCATCTCAATTTA